CGGAAGACAGCAGACATTATATACAAGTGTTGTGAACATCCTCAAGAACAACGATGGATATAGATACGCCGGAATTCTTGTCAAAGGACGATGAGATTCAATATTGGATGGACCTAGCTCATCAAATGCATCAAAGGTAGTATATGTTACATATACATATGTATCAAGCCTCGTTGACATAATATTACACACTTACTAGGATTCGAATAATAATACAATAGTTATCGGAATATGAATTAGAGCGTGAATGAATATATTTTAATTTTCTTGGATAACAATTATAAATAAAAAATGATAGCATGCGTTTTAACATGTATATATGTATGTTACTCTATTGTGAAAATGTTTTTTTTTTTTTTCATATATATAGAGCTAAAATACAAATTTAAATTGCATTGCATAAATTAACATTGCACTAATTGTCATAAATCGAATAAGAAACTATTGCAATTTATTTAATGACTAAACAAGTCAGTATAACATCTGCAACATTTATAATTTCTATATATATATATATATATATAAAATAAAGTTTCACTAAACCATGGTACATTATTTTTTCATTATATTACAATAAACGTTTGTATTCTTTGTATACAAGCATATAATGTAGTGATTTTTCATGGCAAAAGATATTAAAAACATTTATTACATTGTCACAGAAAGTATGATGTTGAACGTGAACTGGAAGAATTTCAAGAGAATTCACAAATGTTGGAGAAAGAATTAGAAACCTCCTTGGAACAAGCAGAAAAAACGAATAGGGAATTGAGACAGAGAAATGCAAGACTTGCTACAGAAGTCGAACAGTTGAGAATGCGATTAGATCAGCAGTCTACAGATTGCGCCATGTTCCAAGGAAAAGCACAAGATTTGCAGCAACAGCACGAGCATCTTCTAAAGTATATCAGAGAACTTGAACAAAAAAATGACGACTTGGAAAGAGCACACAGGTATCTCATATTTCTTCACTGTGCGGATAATAAGCTAAAAAGCTGGAATTAAATAAGCTGGAATTAAATAAATCAGTAGATATATATAATGAAGCAATGATACATCTTTCACAGGATAAATAGGGTCACGGAAGAGGAAATAGAAGCTAAGTTTAATTTAGCTATAGAAAAGAATGCCTTACTTGAATCAGAACTCGATGAAAAAGAAAGCCTAAAAGTTATAGTGCAAAGACTGATGGACGAAGTTAGAGGTTAATAATATTTTTTTTATTTAATATTATTTTGTAATACAAAAAGTAGCTAATATTTCATATTATTTTAGATTTGAAGCAGGAGATACAAGTACACGAAAGGCATCATACTGATAATAATAAGACCGCTGAGAGAGTTCGTAATAGCATCGTCGACAGTAACAAGCTACAGGCCGAATTGGAATCAAATTCACCCGCTAGCCAGATAGTTTCACAAACCATACCTTCGAATAATACAACGACTTCGCCGATAAAACGTAGGTTATATAACGCTTTTGTTAAAGCATGTTTTCCATTTTGCATTACAAAAACAATTACCGAGGTTGATGAAAGCTACAATCAATCATGCAAACATCAAAAAGTGAAAAATTTCACATGGCTTAGAAGAAGAAAATATTGATATAAAAATGTATTGCATAAAATGAGAATTATTTAGAATAATTTACCTATTCTGCAATCTCCTTCTGTGATTCACTTTATTATTTATTTTTTAAAATTGTTTGATAATTCTTTAACTGTTTAATTATACTTTCTATCCCACATGTGCGCGTGTCTTTCCTCGCACTTCCCTTCCTTTTCTTTCTCTTATTAAAAACGAATCGATGTGCAGTATTATCACTAATGTAATACTGAATAAATATCTTTGGCAATATTTTTTTCTTTATTTCGACTTTTTCAATATATCTTTTATAATATAAATATTATACAATTTAGATTTGATAATAGAGATTTATTAGATTTATAGTTGTATTTGATCATAAATAATATTAATATATAAGTGTGTGTGTGTATATATATATATAGATTTAGAGAGCGAGAATTAATTTTTTTTCTTATTATTCTTCAGTTGGACATGGGATGGTAGGGGGTGTTATTGGAAACAACAATAATAATAATAATAATAGCCAACCATTGCCACCCTGTACCAGAATACTGGCAATGAATATGATTGGTGATCTCATGCGAAAAGTCGGGGTAAGCTCACGCAATTCCTCGATTATATTTTTTTCATTGCACTAGTAGTCTTTTAAGCTTGAAGCATGACTTGTATGTTTTACTGTACCTTTATGTATAGTATAAACTATGCCATTTGTAAAATTATATAAGCTATATATATATTAAGCAATCATTGATATAGATAGTTTCATTAATTCTATCGGTCAAACATCATATTTGCTTAGTGATATTATGTCACGGATAAATCGATAGAATGTAGTTATGTATATAGCCATATATAATGAAAGGTTGTATATATTTCCTGTACATGTTGCAAGAGCAAATCACATTTGATTTGCGCTTGGAGTAGTCTTGGCAGTTGGTGTGACGTAGTTGGTGTTTTGTGGTAGCTTGACAGATGGGTCTGCATGGACTGTAGGAGAATAAAATGCACTTGTCCAAACGGACAGATATCAAATACTACCTCATCTACTATCTTATCAGCGGCCCAGACTCATGTGTCTACTCAATGTATAAGGCAACAACCTAGACCGACCGCGTACAGATCTTCAATGTGATTTCTCGTCGTTAGATTATTTTGCATCTCCTTAAAGAACAGGTCTCGATTTGATTTTTGTTATTGCAGTGCTTGTGATCATTCACTGTGCACCAAACCTAATTTATGTATTGTCGAGAAAATATCCATAATCCCATGCTTTACTCTCTATTAAAATAACAAATTTAATATCCTTGCTCTAACATTCTTGTCAATTTAATTTTGTTATGTCAATCACATAGCTGTAAGATATATTAAATGGCATAGTCTTAATCATAATTATTCTTCTCTGCAGGCGTTGGAAAACAAGCTGAACACAAGCAGAAACGCGCTTCGGGAAGATCAAGTTCGTGATCTCTACAGGTAACACAGCAATTACGTTTTAATCACATTAAATTGTGTTGTGTACTTCTGTTTTATCGTGTAATCTGTACACAGATTGATATCATGTATCTATTTTAATATACTCTTCTTACAATTAGATTGATAAATTAACAAATTAATTGCTCATATTTCTCGATAAATTTTCATAATTCTGAACAAAATTGTATAAAAAAATATGATATATGATATACTCTCACTGATTCACAATTGTACTTACTGTTATATGTTGGTTGTGTTTCCATTGAATATGCTGTATCAGCGTCAAAAGACATCCACAATTTATATATTTATTATATATCTACAGCTTTTTACGCAATATTAAGTTTAATAGAAATAGACGGCTGGCTCTCTTATTCGATAGATGACTGCCCTTTTATTATATTATATAGCAAAAAAACTTCTCTTATATATTTTATTTTAATATAATTTATGAAAAAAATTCTTTAATATTATGCCATACTTGTTTCAATTTGTTCAGTCAAAATTTCTTAATATATTAACGACTCCTTATTTGATAGGGAGTGTACAGTTTGTTCTTATGCTTCTTAAGCCATTGTTAAATAACTTATATATGACAATGATGTAACTAATATTTTTTCATTTTTTCCTTTTATAATAATGTTTCCTAAGCATGTGCCATGTTTGAATATATTTCAACATAAATGTTTAATTTTTTTTTATTGGAAACTACATGTGCATATGTATTTGTTTTTATTTTATTGTAACTTGATAATCTGCTCTTAAAAGAATAATGAAATAATATTTATTTTGCAAAATAAATATGTACAGTAATTTTTTATATTGGTGTCGCATGCATGTGCAAAATCTTCTTAATGCAAAGTGCAATAGACACATTTGAAAATGCAATAAGTCACACATATATTTATACAAATTCAAATACAAAGTAGATTTATTATTAAAAATGTACATAATGTACATCTATACATGTGTATGTAATTAATTCTGATTGATCATGCAATCTAATTCCTTGAAACAAAATTTCATATTATTCCATTGGAGTAATAGACATAATTGCTAATAATAGATATATTCTGCGATTTTTATATATTTGTTTGTGTTAGCATATAAATATTACATAAGTTTTTCACATATTATACTAAAAGTTTCATGTGTAAAATTAATTCTAGATATTAATATTACAGAAAAAGACATTTGTATAATTAATTTAAAATATGAGTTTTATGCGCCTTGTATATAGAAAAAGATTCATTCAAGTAACAAAATGTTTTAAATTTGTGAAAAACTGTGGTAATAAATTACATACTCTTATGTTTAGTGTGATATTATATGTATATACTACATATACACACATACATACACACACACAGATATCAAGCGCTACAGAAATGTGCAATTGTATTAAAAAAATTAATGTCGATGCTGTAATAAAAAATGATATAATATTTAAACAATTTTTTAAACAGCATTTGTGTGTACATTGTAAATAACATTTTTTAAATTGACTTATTGCCACATTAAGTCAATTTATGCTGACATGAGATTATTCGTGGCTCAATCTTTATACAAAAAAAATATTGTTGTAATATAAAAGATATCACACGCACATATATGACAAAAAATATGAAACAGTACATTTATGAGTCCTTTCCTGCATGAATTGTTACTTTTATCCCACACATTATATAGTAGAAATATCATAGCATTATTAATATGACATCCTAAATATATGTATTAATAGAGTAAAATTTAAGAATGGATTTTTTAAATTGCGCAAAAAAGAAAAACAATATTTAGTTAAATTATGCACAAAATTAATCAATGCACGCATATTTTCTTTTCTAAATAGATCATACCCGTCCAGTATGTGTGTGTGTAATACACACACACACACACACATACACATGTATATTTTTAGCATTAGATAAAACACAAGCTATAACAAGAGATTATTGCATTTGTTCAATTAGAGCTAGACGGCAAGTCAGAAGCCCAGCCTCAGGAAACAACAACCACATTCGATTGTAAGCGCAGGATAATGTCGCAGCGCAATCATATATCCGCACATCATCACATTGTACAATCCCGAGATATAATGTTAGTAACGAAAATTTATTTAATGGCTTTAAGTCTTATTATTAAGTTATTCTGAAAATTCAATTATTTGCAAAATTAGAAAGCATTCTATCATGCCAAGAATAAAAAGTCATTCATAGTTTTCACGGGCATAAAATAAAATTTTTCTTATGATAACTTGTTTGTTAAAAAACATTGTGTAGAATAATCATAAATTGGCAAAGTTGATGAATTACTATACTCTTTTCCAATTATATATATATATCAAATGACATTAATTTGCTGTAATTATTACAAGCGATATTTTTCAGTGATGCCGATAAATGCTGCTAACGGAATATCACAGTATTTCTACTTTTTATACCGTTCGCAATGTAACTCTTCAAGTATTTTCGTTTGCGTTTTTGTTACGATAAATAAATGATTTATTTTCTTATAAAAACTTACATGTGTAAGTATGTCGCTATGATAACAAAATATATCGGTATCCCCCGATGTGATTTGAATCGACTTCTCTATCATGTTAACTCTTTCAAGCCTATTATGCTACATTAATATAATATATATACATATATTAATATGATTGCCACATGTGCAATATATAACTATATAGTATGTAGTAAATGATAACTAATTTTCATGTAAATAACAAAAAATAATACAAGATATATATATATTGTTATTTATTATTTATATATTTATATAAAAAGATGTTCTTTTTTCTTTATTTTTCTCTACATTATAATTGCCTTCAGACAATTTGTGGTTTTATGCTTCGAAATTATGAAAAAATGAAAATTTGTGAATTGTGAACATGCAAATAAAGAGCTTGGGCCAATAACAATGTTAAACCAGATAAAAATCTTAGTCTTTCCGCAATTTTATGAAATTTGAATAGCCTCGGCAAAAAGTTAAATCTTACATTTTTTTTAGATATCACCTTAAAAAACAAACGTAAATGTTGCAAAATAAAATAATGGCATTTACGTGATTTATAGCTCTACGTTTTAACTTTTTATGATACATTCTTTTATTTATTCATCAAATTGGTAATATGTAATTTAACATATTATTGCCTCGAGCACTTTGGGTATATTAAACATAAATAATAGTAAAATGGAGTAATATTATTATATTTATTATAAAAGAAATATATACTTGTGACGCTTGCAGGAAATTACATAATTAATAAATAATTTATGAAATGTTTTTTAACATATAGGTATAATTCGTAACTGCAATAGTGTATCATTGTCCATAAATAATTATTAGTACATGTACTTTGTAAAAATGTATACTTTTTAGCGCTTTAAACATATTTATGCATACATACACACATGTAAAATTCTTCTATTTTTTTATCATGTCATATAAAAATATGATTTTCTAATTGGAAAAATAATTATTTTTTATGGCTATTGGATGAATTCCAATAAATATATACATTATAATGAATATTAGTCAAAAAATAGCATGTTTGCGTCGATCTAAAATTCAGTGCTTTAAAGCACTAAGTTGCGAAAGAGACGTATTCTCTGATAAGATACAAAATTGTTATCGTAAATGAAAAATCATGTTATACTATTATGAAAATCTGAGAATTTTATTCAAATAAACTCATATTAATTTAACGATGCATGTCGTATATATGTTTTTGTATAAAATCATAAATCAAGTTTCACAGGGGCAGTTCGAGCGAGTTCAGATAAAAATATAACAGTGTAAGGTAAGGTAATATAAAAGCGAGTCGTGTGAATTTAGAAGATTTATTTATACGAAATGCGTTTATCTTTACACAAATTTTTACACAATGCTTAGGTGATTAAAATGATGTATGTAACTCGAGTACAGAGATCTAATATGTTAAGCGCTACATCTCAACTTTACTGTGAGAGTATCTTATTCTAGTGCACACTTTTTGCAAATACTAATAATGATAATGACATTATTATGTATATTAGTAATAGTGATAAGAAGATAAATAGTGAACAGAAACGCAATTTCCAAATGTCGTATAATCGAAATTACTTTGTGTGTACCTTATATTAATTTTTAGCACAACTATTGCAAATTAATTTCATAAATATATAACTAAATTGAAGAGCTATCAAAAACGTAGTTTCGTGGAAAGAAAAAAAAAGAAAAAGAAAATTACTTTTATATCCCGTAGAACTTGTGAAACGTGTTTTATTCATCAGAATGACAAAATTGTTAAACAATAACGCGCGCTATACAGCGCTTAATGTCTCTATATGGATAAAATATGTGTAGAGCTTGGAATGAAAGTGTTTCATCCACGATGCGATTGCAAACAGTAATGTATGTAATTAATAATATAATAATATTAATAATAATAATAATAATAGCAGTAAACGGTATGTATGCATTACGCAGCGTCTCTTAAGCACGCTCGCCGCGAATTCGCCGAGCCAACTGGATATCCTTAGGCATAATTGTGACGCGTTTTGCGTGAATCGCGCACAAGTTGGTATCTTCAAAGAGACCAACGAGATATGCCTCGGATGCTTCCTGCAGGGCGCCTATAGCAGCGCTTTGAAAACGCAGATCGGTCTTGAAGTCCTGCGCGATTTCACGTACCAATCGTTGAAAGGGTAATTTTCTGATTAGCAATTCCGTCGACTTTTGGTATCTTCTGATTTCTCGAAGAGCAACGGTACCAGGTCTGTGAAAATCGTAAAAAGTACCGTGTATAAATTGTTAGGAACGTCGAATATGAAAAGTCAAAGTAAAAGCCAAGCAACGCGTGTTGGTTTTTCTAATATTCAATATTTTGCGATACTTTTGATATTTATACACTTTTATGCATACATATATGTATATACCTATAACGATGCGGCTTCTTGACACCGCCGGTGGACGGTGCGCTCTTCCTGGCCGCCTTTGTAGCGAGTTGCTTGCGAGGAGCTTTTCCTCCCGTTGATTTACGGGCCGTCTGCTTAGTACGCGCCATGACTTAACCTAACACAATAAGAGATATCGATTAAATATTTTTCTCGATAATGAGAGAAGAAAATTTCAATCAATCGTTAAATTCTGTTTTGGCCCTTGCACGGACTATCTTATTCTTATATTTCTTCGGTTACGTAAAATATCCTTCAATCATTAATCAGTTTTTTAAACGACTCGACAATTAAATACAATCGATCATCGACCGCAGCGCGAGACAGCGCGAGATGCATTCACGGGTAGATTGGATAGCTTGGGGGAGTGGGAAAAGTATTTATTGTTAGTAGAATGGGGAAGATGGTGGTGGTAATTGTCATTGCGAGGTGGGGGAACAATCCGTTGCTATTCGCGCGATCGCGCGGAGGAAGCGCGCACCGAGGAACGCCGCGCGTTGCGCAATGCACGAACTTTCGTTCCCCCGTGAGACGGCGAAGGAAAGGAAAGGAGAGGAGAGGAGAGGAGAGGAAAGAAAAAAAAAAAAACACCCGCGCGTTGTCAGGCGAGGAATTCGCGTCGCTTCGAGACCCAGGTACGACCTGGGGAGAGGCGTTCGGCGACGATGCTCGCGGAATCCCGCGAGAAATCGGCTCGATCGCGCCAGTTTTTCCGAGAAAAAGGCGAGAAACGTCGCGTCACCGCCGCCACCCGCGACGCCGTTCCCCGTCCGTGAACGTCAATCGCAAAATGGTGGCGGCTCATAGAGATGGACGCGACGAATGTCGCGCGGTGGAAACTCGAGTTTTTCCCGGAAAGCGCACGATCCTGCCCGCGATCGACGCCGTTTTCACTCGCGGTGTTCGCGACGCGCGCGCGCGCGCGCGCGCGACGCCTTCGCGGTTTCGTCTCGCGGATCTCGACTCGTCACCCACCTCGAGCGGATTATCGAACACGAGCGGACGCGAATAAACTAGGTACACTATCCCGTATCCTCGCACACTCCGATGGCAGTGGACGCTCTCCCGAGTCACGACTCTCTCGCGTCCCTTACCCTCCCCCTCTCCCCCTCATCCCTGGAAATTAAATCGTGCGAGAGGCATATAGAGCTCGCGGTGCGCCGCCGGCCAATCCGACAGCGAGCCGTCGTTCGGCCGTCGCGTCGCATTGGTCGCCGGTGCATCGAGTGCGGCGCGAGTGCCCTGTCAATCGCTCGAAATCTTACTACGATACGCTCTCTCGAGCGAGCGCACCCCTCCCCCTCCTGCTCCCGCACCCGCACCGAGTCGTGCGCTTGTCTCGCGCGGAAGAACGCCAACAATTGCCGCGAACGAGAAAATTGTCCTACGGGGAAGAGGGAGGGGGAGGGGGGAATTCGATCGATCGATGGACGCCGCGGAAAACTAACGAGTTTAAGAATGTAAATATCGCGCGCCGCTATCTCATCGTCATCGTCGTACGGCGATTTCCCAGACTCGGCCAAGATCGATACAAAGCCGAATGATAAACAAACGCCGCGACATGTCGTACACCCGCTTTACATCGTGCAATTGTCCTCGAGCTATATCCTTTGTTCCGAGTTGCTACCTAAGCAGACGCGTATCTATAATCCCACATTTAGAACTAACTTTTGATTTTCCATGAATAAAGCCGATTATATTTGGTATGTAAGCAAATGGGGGAAGAAATAGCACGATCAATTGCTTCGAGCCTGTTACATAGTTGGAGATTGGCGCTAAATGTAGGATATGTGGCTGCTGGTCCTCGGATGAGGCTTTGTCTTCGCGAACACAATCTCGAACAATCTCGCTCATTGATAATCGCTTTACAAATATGTACTTGAGCCGAATTACAGTCTCTGCAAAATATTAAACCCTATCCTTACGAATTGTAGAAACAGTTTTAGGATTTTGTTACGTTACACCGAAGAAAAATGAAGCACACACACAGAGAGAGGTTACTTGGATTGGATGCGACATGAAACCGTATATTCGCAATCGCGCGAAATAGTTCCGATATGTGTAATTTTTCGACACGGAGAGGAGAGGAAGTACCTATACTCACAGCTCAATTATCGCGCGCCGTTATATTGTAACCGGATAATCTTGTAATCTGGTTGATTTCGTCATTCGATTTCAATTATGCGAGACTGAAGAAAAAATACGTGAATCAAAAAACGATGACGCGACGCTACTATTTACGCGGAGAAAGGCGGCTATATATGTATAACGCGCGATAATAACGCCTGACGTAGTATAGGACTATCCTTGCTATAGCGTCGAGTATCGATTAGCGAAATCTTGAGATCGATGTCCGGCCTGCAGGAAAAAGCGCGCGCGCGCGCGCACACATACGCACGCAAAACACACATACTCACATTTGCGCTAGATTTGTGCGTAATGTGTGCCGTGCAATGTAAGAGATAAGATACGTGCTTATGTGTGCGCACACATATACTGTATCGCCCTCGTCGCAAGCATTCCGCGACAAATCGATAGCGTCGTGCGATATCGCAAATGCGTTCGCTTGCACAGGCGCGAGAGTGATTGTATGCTTGTGACGTTACAGATCTCGGACATGGTGTAAGAAATGTATACAAAAAGAAAAAAAAAATATATATATACTCACGAGGAAATACGATTTTTTTTCATTACATCGATTAGAAAATGTATTTTACTGTATTGTTGTTACAATTATCAATAGTGCTATGTAATTATTTATTATCAATAATTAAGATAATTACAACTTATAATAACTCGACATTAAAAGAGCTGCACAGACAATAGATAACTTTTGAGGAAAGTTATCCTTCAACATAAAATTAATTTACTTGGACCAAAATACACAGGAAAAAAAATTTTTTTTATGAGTACACATTTTTCACTATATTTCTCTCTCTTTCCTTTCCACCTCACACACAACATACACACACACATATATACACGCACGTTTTAAGACATATCAATGTGTAAAAAAGTATTTTTGCAAAAATGCAGCCCTTTTCTTGTCGTATCTTCAATAAGATATATGAGACATATCATACGACATCACATGGAGTACATTTTTTAAATTCTAGAGCTTTCAAAGAATGAAAAATGCGAATCGATATACATGTGTCACATGTAATAATATTATACTAAGATAAACTAATAAACTTATAATAAACTTTTTCACACATACCGCGTTCTCGATAAACAGACTTGTGTGTGTGTGTATATGTATATATATATATACACAATTTTTGATTGTACATTTTAAAGTTGGAAGAACATGCACCAAGATTATCATTGACTAGGCCGAATTCAAACGATATAATTCCTGA